GTATGTTAAGGCTGTTTTTATGGGTTCTGTTGGTTTGTCCTAAAAACCTGTCGGATAGCAAGGTTTAGGATTGTTAAGGGTCGGATTATCGAGTCATGACTGTACTCATCAACATGCTGTGGACGGTCCACCTCGGGCTTTCAGTCTATCTCAGTTTTCTGTTCTCAACATGCAGCAGATTGGCCTCCTTCTTACTGAACCCAGCAGCTCTAAGATCTTGCTGCCGTTTATTCCAGTCTGCAGTGATGTTGTTCATGATCTTGGGCCCATTTTCAAGGAATCCCTTGAGGCATCTTTCTTCACACTGCCTCTCCAGTTGGTTAAACAGCCACTTGTGACTGACAGCAACACAAGCAGCACAACACATGGGGGATTATGGGTTTTCTGAGTGGCCTTATGGTAACTTATTATTGTTTATGGTCTATCAAGTGGCAAGTTTTCCTTCAAATTTTATTCACCACTCAGATGAGCGATTGATTGCTTGCATTCAGTTTGGCCGCGTAATGGCCGACATGAGTCTGATGATAAACTGTGTTATTTAGGAGAAAATGCGGTTTTCACATGTATGCCAGTAGCCAAGAGAAGCCGACTCTAAACCCAAAATAACGGGGAAAAATTGAGTTTTTATGGCTATGTGGTTAATTTGAACTCATTTCAAGAATTATTATCTATATGCTATTTATAGTGCAGTGGAAAGGAATGTCTGGTTCTCGTGTTCGCTCTAAAAAGCCGTTAAAGGTTGCATGTTTCCTCTGGATGAACTCTGTTCCTCCTCATATCGTACACGATCTTACATTTACCACTGACAGCAAACAGTGACAGCATTTTTCCAGAAGACAAGCCAGAAGTTCCCAGTTTGGTCAGGTGTATATTTATAGATCAGGTGGGATTTCTTTTCAGATTTAATACAGTAAGTAGTTTAATTATACATATTTTAGGGGGAGGGTGATGGAATTATATTTGTGCCACAATCCTGAGCAAAATCTATTCTGCGCTTTGAACTATGACTGCAACTATCAATGTACATGCACAGTTGTGTCTATATGTTTATGTTTGCTATTCTATGTATTCTACATGCTATACATGTTGTCACTTTTTACAGCGTGACCAAAATAGCCACCTGATTGGATAGCGTCAGTTGCCCTGTGCAAGGCTGTGATTGGCTGGTTTTGTGGCACATTGGTAATGCTGTGCCCATAGACTGTATAAAAGATGGAG